GTTCATTCCCTGAATGAGACAGATTGAAATGAGGCACAGGATAACTGAATAGCTCAGTCATCTCTTGCTTTTGTGTTTGTTGAAGTACAGCCCCTGGCTGCCAGCTCAACTCAAGATGCAGGAACTCAGAACCCAGCGCTACACAGAGTCCAGCCATACAGCGGGTGGGCGGGCCTCTGTTTAAACCCCACTCCGAGCTCAGGCACCAGCTCCCATGCCTGGATGCTTGTTTTCCAAAACACGATTAAAGTGTTATTTCATTTCCTTCGAAAGCAAAGGGCACATATGTTTCCACTAGAAAGGGCTCCTTACCAAATGAGTCACTTATCAAGTGCTGCCGGCGGGTGGAGAGTGGCCACAGAGCCTTAGCATGAATGCATGAATTCATTACGTCTGCGTTCAGACCGTGAATGAGTCTGTTTATCTTTCATAAACACGAGCGGGTCAGGAGCACCCTGCTCCTCTGATCTGTCAGCTGGTCTGGCGGCGAGGGAGTGTGAGGCCAGGAAGGAGGGGGCGGCTTCCTTGCAGGGGAGAGGGGAGACTCAGCACCCTGTCCAGACCCTCGGCGTCCCTCCCGACCAGGGCTGACTGGAAGGGTTTCCGCGTGGTTCTGTGGAAGGGGAGGCTCAGAAATTACTCCAGAACTTGGTGTAAAGAACTTTTGAAAATGAGCCACCATGACTGTGTGTCTCCCTTCAGCTAATGTGAGTTTGATCATTTCCACACACCTGGCCATACACAATCAGGGAGGTCCTCTAAGTGATTTATGGGGACCTCCCCGATTCCTTTCTTCTTTCGCCTTTTTCTTCCGATTTTCCCGTTCCTCTCCCTGTTAATCTCCCCTTTCACTAGCCTTCTAGATGGCATTCAGTGTTAGAGGCCACACTTTCTGTGGCCATTGCATTAACTGATTAGCCTGATCCAAGATTGGTCCGTATCCAGGGTCAGCAAATTAAAGTTCACTTTGGCCTGCCAACTGCTCTTATAAATAAAGTTTTATTAGAACACCACCGCTCTCATTTTGTTGTTGTTGTCGTTAAGTGCCTTCAAGTCAGTTCTGACTCACAGCGACACTGAAAGGGTTTCTGAGGAGTAGCTGGTGGGTTTGAACTGTTGACCTTGTGTTCCAGTGCTCATCCTACAGTGCCTCACCAGGAGTCTTCCCATTTTGTAGCAGATAGTCTTTAGCTGCTTTGCAGTTGTTGGTGGCCCCCAAAGCCTAAAATATTAGCTAAGATATTTACCATGGTCTAAGATACTTACCCATGGCCTATATGAGCAGTGACTTTTGCATTATCAATAATGAAGAACATATGTCTCATGGCCAGTTAATATAACATGGAATCCTGGTGTGGCACTGTATGATAAGCACTGGACTGCTAACTACTAGGTCGGAAGTTCAAACCTTCTACCTGTTCCTTGGAAACCCTCTACGGGGTCACCGGGAGTCGGAACTGACACAACAGCACTTAACAACAGTAACAACAATACAGAGTAAAGAAGCCCCATGGTACTATGGGTTAGGCATTGGGCTATTAACCACAAGATCAGTGGTTCAAACCCACCAGTCATTCCTCAGGAAAACAATGAAGTTGTCTGCCTCTGTAAAGATTTACAGTCTCAGAAACTGTAAGGAGCAGTTGGGTCCTATGTAGAGTTGGCTAGGAGTCAGAATCAACTCGATGGTAGTGGATTGGGTTTGGTTTAATACAGAGTAAGCAAGTACTCCATAAATGTGGGAAAGCCTAGGAGTTCCTCACACACGTTAGGTATGCAGCCTTATTTATGCACATGAGCAGTAGTAAACCGGGCATTACGAAGAATGTAGCACTGTTTGTCTGAAACACTGCTGAGACGGCGTGTGGAGACGTGAACGTGGCCTGTACCCTCGCAGACCCCCTGTCTTCAACGTGTGGCCCCTCCTCATACTAGCTTTGGGACACATTCCCTATGCCTCCGGATCCCCGTCTCTAAAGTGAGTGTTGTAAGTCCCTCATTGGGTTGATGAAAGGATAAGATGAGCATCATAAATACACAGAACTGAACTGAGTAGCAGTTGGTATTATTTCAGGGTTTGCATTTGTTGTTACGAATCTAATTCCATTTCTGCTGGAAATCTCTTAGCAGCCTCTCTTTGTTTGCCTTCAGAATGAACCCCGAATGTGGGAGCCTGGTACCAGACCTCACAGCCACACAAAGATCAGCAACGGTGGCATCTGGATTCAGCTGCTCTAGCTGTTCCTGCCCTTGCTCAGGTTCTCTCCCATGATCCACGAGTGGCCAGCCTTCATTCGCCATCCAACCATGGCTGTGCCCATGCTTGAGATCGCTTGCGTACATTATGTCATTTAATTAGAGAGTGTTGTCTAAGGGCTCTTATGAACAGAGAAAGAGTGAAGATGTCAAGGGTTTCATTTGACTTGGATCCATAATCAACTAATACCTCCAGAAGCAGCAGTCAGGAAACCATATGAAGCATTGCTTTGGCAGATCTACTACAAAAAAAAGTCTTTAAATTGTTTAGAAGCAAAGATGTCTCCTTGAGGCATGAGGTGTGCCTGACCCAAGCCATGATATTTTCAATCACCTTATATGCTTGTGAAAGTTGGACAATGAATAAGGAAGACTGGAGAAGAGTTCATGCCTTTGAGTTACGGTGTTGATGAAGAATTTAAAGTACCATGGACTATACGAAGAAATAAATCTGCCTTGGAGAACATCCAGCCAGAATAATCCTTAGAAGTAAGGATGATAAGATTCTTCTCATGTATTTTGGATCTATTTTCAGGAGAGACCCTCATGGAGAAGAGCATCATGCTTGGTAGATTCAGCAAAAAAGAGGAAGACACTCAACAAGATGGACTGTAGCCAACACAGTCGCTGTAGCAATGAGCTCACAGGAGATATGGTGGGGATGACGAAGCATCAGGCAGTTTTCATTCAGTTGATCGTAGGGTCATAAGAAGTCAAAACAAACTAGAAGGCCCCTCACAACATCTGTAGGGTTGCTATGAGTGGGCTCCACAGCTACAACAACAGGCAATGCCTTTGTTTTACAGATAAGCCACTGAAAGGAAGAAAGACTAAAACCGCGTTCCTAATGGAGTCCTGGTGTGGTACTGTAGGTTAATGCATTATACTGCAAGGTCGCTTGAACTGCAAGTTCAGAGGTCCAAGCTCACTGGCCGCTCCCCGGAAACCCTCTACAGGGTCACTAGGAGTCAGAACCAACTCAGCGGCACTTAACAACAACAACCCTGATCCCAAAGCCTGAGCCACATGGTCACCTGAGGTTTCAGCTCAACAATTACTTACTCAGAACTTTTTTCCATCCCGTTCAGACTTCTCCTTTCTCGCTCATACTTTTTCAGAGTTGTCTTTCTGGTTTGGGTTTTGGTACTTTTTTTCCTTGTTGGTACCCCTGCTACTGCATGGCTTCACAGCTTACACATGTGCCTCTGGGCACACACCTAGTTTGTGGTCCTCCTGAACTCAGGGACTGAATTGTATATCACCTGCTGTCTCCTGGGCCCAGGACAGTTCCTGGTACATCAGTGTGCAGATGTGTTAGATGGGTGGGCAGTTTCTTCCAGAAAGTAGTGAGGCCTGGAATTGAGAAACTTGACTCCACTCTCTACAAGCGCTTACCTTTTTGCATTTCGTTCACCTAGCGGCTCTGTTGAGAGGCAGCAGATGGTATTGGTTAAGTAGAAGCATACTTCATTCATGGCACTTCATTTGACTTGCTTCCCATGGAACTGCAGTGTTTACAGATAGAAGGCTTTTGGCAACCCAGTTTTGAGCAAATTTATTGATGCCAGCTCCCCAAGAACTTGAGCTCACCTCATGTCTCTATGTCACATTTTGATCGTTATCACAATCTTCCAAACTTTTTCATAATGCCATTACACACTTACTAGACTACAGAATAGTGTAAACATAACGTGTATATGCCCCTGGAAACCGAAACAGTCACGTGACTCACTACATTGGGCTGTTGGTTTTATTGGGAACTTGCAGTATCTGGGAGATGTGTCTGTACATGGGTATCAGAGTCCGTTTGCTTGAGCTGGAATCCTAGTTGCCTAGCTGTAGGCTTTTCTCATCTGTCAATGAAGTGATGGTGGTATTCAATGTCTTATGAATGAAATCCTGTGCGTAAAGCACCAAGGCCAGTGTCTGGCATGTAGTATGTTTCATAAATGTTATCTGCACTTAATATTGTGGTAGCGAAAGCACTGTAGTTTACTTCTCATGCACTCAATTAAAATACAGGATGTGCAAGGAGACAGAATACACAGCTACTTGACATTCAGGCTTTTGTATGGCCGGGCTCCTCTGTATGCCAAAGCCTCACTCTGCCTCCAACCCACCTGCTTCCTCTGGTATGTCCATCTTCAACACTGTATCATGCTGGTGTTGAACTTGCCCCCCCATGATACACGGCAGCCAGCACAAAGCAGCCACTGTCTCTGATGCTTAAGCAAAATAAGAAGAAGTGATCATCCCATGTTGGGCTTGTGCACGTTTCCATGTGACCTTGCCATGACCACGTGTGAGTTTCATCTTGAGTGTTGTTGTGTGGAACCTTTGTCCTAACTGCCGAGGGCAGGAGTGAGGTAGCTCTGCCATCTCAGCATGGCAGACTAGACTGAGTGGAATTCAGGATTTCGATGAGAAGTTTTGTATTTATTGAAGCAGCACTCAGTATTCAGTCTCTTACCTGTTGATGGACTTTCGAATGGTCAGCTTGAATTTACCCTCCGTGTGCCTGCAACCCTCTGTGGCTCTTTGTCTTTGGAGTTGGCATCGAGAGCCTTTGGAATGTGCACGGATAGCATATTTCCAGGCTGGGGCCAGCAGAGTAAGGGTTCATAGGCTAATGAGTAAATGCCCTGGCCCCATCGCACTGGGGGACAAAAAGGAAGCGCAGTGAATGTTCTCACAAGTTTAAAGATGACTTAAAAGACCTTACTCTGTGTTTGCTTTTTGTTTAGGTAACTACTCCAGACCCCCCACGTATAGTGGGGTGCCCAGTGCAAGCTACAGCGGCCCAGGGCCCGGCATGGGTATTAATGCCAACAGCCAGATGCACGGACAGGGGCCCAGCCAGCCATGTGGTGCTATGCCCCTGGGACGAATGCCATCGGCCGCGATGCAGAGCAGACCGTTTCCTGGAAACATGAGCAGCATGACCCCCAGCTCTCCCGGCATGCCGCAGCAGGGGGGTCCAGGAATGGGGCCGCCCATGCCCACTGTGAACCGTAAGGCACAGGAGGCAGCCGCGGCAGTGATGCAAGCCGCCGCAAACTCGGCACAAAGCAGGTACGGCTCCCAGGACCCACGCCAGGGCGGGCACTCAGGGCATCCGCATGTGAGCACGCAGCCCAGCCCAGAGCCGCCATGCCCCGGGCGGCAGGAGAGAGCAGAGCACAGTTCCGCACAGCAGTGCTTCCGGTGCTAAATCAAGTCCTTACTGTAGCAGGGAATGGCAGACGCTATCACAGGGTGAGCCCTGAAAACATGCTGGAATGTCTGTACAAGGTCTTTTCCATCAGCACCCAGGAACTAGATCCAACTGTGGAGAAGGGTCTTTGGGATTCCATTTAGAATGCCTAAAGACTGAAAATTACTTAAATTTTTAGGAAACTACTCCTTTTTTTTTTTTTTTTAACCCCACCTTAAAAATCCTTATCAAACAGAAACTGTGTGTGCTACATATTGTATTCTGCGTGTTTGTCCAGTTGTATATGTGTGAGATTCATATAGTTGGTATGAAGGTACTTCAAAAAGTTCATGGACAAATCCTGTAATCTTTTTATTACATCTGTCCACAAAACTGTTTGAAGCCCCCTCATATTTTCTCTGTCCACGTATCTCTTATCTGTCCTAACCAGAATGTGGCAAATACAACAAAGCAAATATTTTAGAAAGTTTAAAGTTATGAGAAACCAGTTCTTTGCGTCAGTGGCTTGCTTTCTTTAATCCTGACGTTTCATTCTTGAAGTAAATACTTATAAAGAAATAGCATGGTTAAGTAATAAATGACAAGGCCAAAGCAGATAGCTTTTTATAAAAAGCACATGTAAACAGATTTTAAAACAAGGCACACTGAAAGGTATACATCTTTACAATACCTTCAAAAGAAGAGAGAGAAGAAGATCTTGACTTTGGTCAAAGGGAAATGAAAGCTAATTATGTTTGTGTATTTGTGTGTGTGTTTACATGTGTCCCTCTGTTACTTTTCCTCTGAAGCTGCTATTTTGGGAGTATAGGGAGGACCCCCACCCCCAAGTCTCATTTGTTGCAAATGATCATGTATGTCCCTTGAGGAATTAGAGTGAAACTCTCTCTGTCATCCATTTTATGATGACTACAAATCCATCAGGAGTGCCCACAGTGCACCTCTAAACCAAACTGAACGCAGGCTGTAGGGACTGTGTACACACACCTGTCTGTGGAGACCGGTGTGGTTGGTCCAGCTGAAATTCTACATTAGGCTTCAGTGACTGGTCCATTGTTGAAGCTGAGCCATTCGAGCCACTTCCTTTCTATTCAGTAGAAAGTCTCTGGCTGAATTTGGCCTATGGCAATGATCTGAGATGATGCACACAAGCTTAAGACATAATTCTGCTGGATTCAGAAGTCTCCCCCTCACTCCTTGTCCCACGTCAACCCCCTTGATATAAGTGAATGTGTACATACACATGCCTGCACCTTCGTTTCTATTTTTGTCCAGTAGGCTGCTGCCAAGCCTCGCCTTCACGAACCACCCATGTTAGCGCTGCCCAAGTGTAAATGAGGACTGTATATTTTATCTTGGGCTTTATCAAAGTCAGAGCTATACTTGGAAACTGGAAACCGAGATTCGGCCTTCCTCCTCACCCTCCTGTGCCCGGCCCCCACCCGTTTCCTTCTTAAGGCATTTTATCCAATTCCGCTTGAGGCAGCTGCTTGGTACAGTGTAGGATGCCCTGCTGCCACCTTCTGTCCCCCTCCACACCTCCGGGAGGTCACAGACAGACAGGGGGGTTCGGACTTGTACTGCAGAACCGATCCACAGAAGCTGTTCTCTGTTCTACTTTAGGCCACCATACATTAGGTCGCCTGCTTATCCCAGCCAGTCTGGGGCTGGCGGACGCCCCATGTTTTCTTCCCAGCACCCCAACTATGGCAACTCTCAGGCTCCCCTGCTGCACCAGCATGACCAGTACGGGTAGGTAGCACCACACTGGACTTGCCGCGGGGCCTTGGCATCCCTTTGAAATTGTTCATGAGTGCGCCCCCTGGCTGCCGGGGGGACTCCCACACCAGTCAAGCCGAAGACCCCAAAGGAAACTCATCCCAGAGGGGGGCGTCTTGTTGTTCTTCTCTGTTTGTTTCGGGTTTTTCTGTTTGTTTTGTTTCGTTTCGTTGGTTGCTTTCATTTCTTGTTCTTATAACTGTACTGTGGTGGTTTGGTGGGAACCTGCATGTTGTCCCCACAGGCCCTGTCTGCATGGCTTCAGCATGGTTTCCCCCCCTCCTGCCTGAGAGGGTACAATCACCCAGATCTCTGTAACCCACTGGGGTCACCTCCTCAGCATCATCACTCCCTTGTTATCAGAGTTGTTCTTTGTGGGAACTTGTGTGTGTACTACCGTCCCCGTGATTGTGTGACTGTCCCTGCCTCTATTGTGGGCTGCTCTGACCTCCACCCCTGAGCTCAGAGAGCCAGAATCTCCTTTGACCGGAGACTCGCAGTGGGAGGGACCACACTGGTGAACAGGACTCTCATGAGGAGTTCCGATATGTCAGCCCCGAGCACATCTCTGCTCCAAAGATTCCTGTGATTTGCTTTTTCCTGGGTGTTTGAGAATGTTGAAGGCACAACACCCAGCAAGAATTGTCTTCCTAAAGGTGGTGTTGCCATATTATTACCTATTTGGACACAGGAATTACATACAGCAACTAAAAGTATCCTTCTTCTTTCCTACAGAACTAGAGGATAGTAAGCTCTGTACTATTTTTACGTGAGGTACAATGTGATCAAGTGATTTTTGACAATTAAAAATGTTAGTCTTGGTATCATTTTGCATAGGTTAACATTCAGATTATCCTGCAGAGATTTAATCATCTTCAGTAAATCATCTTCAGTAGTGGTTTCAGGTGAGACATAACCACAGTTATGGTTAAAATAGGGAACAGTAAACAATTTGTAGAAAACTCAGTATAACCTGCTGGGTTTAAAGATTCAGCTTTACAAAACTGTGCCTTCACTTCTTGTTATGAATGCAGGACACAGAGAACATTTAAATAGTTCTTTATTTGTGATTAAGTCCGTTCGACTCATAGCAACCCTGTATAGGGTTCCTGAGGAACGTCTGGTGGATTTGAACCGCCGACCTTGCGGTTTACAGTTCAGTGCTTATCCTACAGCCCCACACCAGGAGTTCAGTCCTATATTTACTATGTATTTAAGGAGTCCTGGTGGCACCGTGGTTAACCACTTGGTTGCTAACCAAACAGTTGGCTGTTCAAACCCACCAGCCACTTCACTAGGCTGTCTGCTCCTGTAAGGATTACAACCTTGGAAACTTTAGGGGACAGTTCTACTCTGTCCTGTCAGGTCGCTGTGACTCGACAGGACGACAGTGAGGTTGGGATTTTATGTCTTTCATTAGGCAGCAAGAGCAAAAAAGACTTTTGTAACTGAGAGTTCTAAATTCTATCAACAGAGTGCTAAGTGTGGGCGAATAGTAACAGAATTCTGTAAATATTCTAAAAGTGACCAACTGTAGGATGAGACACGCATACCTGCACTCTCCAGCAATTGTCTTTTCCTGGTGGTTTTTTTTTTTTTTTTTTTTTAGTTGCAGTGTGGTACCTTCAAGGACAATTCATGAGTCGGTGGGAAATGGGAGTGAGGGCAGAAAAGCATTTATCATCAGCTGCTAATCCATACGATCCGCCCTTTACCAACTCAGGAGTCCTATTTAGACCCACAAAGCGAGTTTGGCTATGCCTTGCCAAGCCACATTAAGCAGCTGGGTAAAATGAATTTAAATGGCATGCATCAGAGTAAAATCTCTTCCACTCGGGCGGATAATCGATGTTGGCTAAGCAGCACGAGGAGATGAAATCTGCAGCTCAGCCAGCAGTGTCCTGATCGTGAGCTTCCTCCACACCACCTCCTCCTCGTTACAAAGCAGAAGGGAAACGGGGAAGGGGATACGTAAATCCTACCAAGTACACTTAGCAAATTGACCTGCTTTTTGCAGCCCTGCTTCTGGGAGCTGTGAATTTCATCTTTTATGTTTCCAGTACTCTTTCTAAAAAAGAAAGAGAAGAACATCTTATTTCTCTTTTAAAATTCCCCTCCTTTCTCCTTTGCAATAGATAGCCTGTTGTGCCGTTGTTAACAAGCAGAAGCAGGAATATGAGAAAACATGTGCGTTCCATGTTTTCGTGCTGTGACTTAAGAAATCCGCGTTTGCACCCCATGCCTTTGCTTTACCGAGTGAGCAGCTCATTGCGGCAAACCTGTGTTTTTGTTTTTGCTCTCCTCCCCAAATGGTGGCTCTGGCAGGTGAAAGTCAGCTTGGTGATTTGAAAAGCTAGTTTGCTAATGAACACTTTCTCTTTTGAAAAGGAAGAACTAGCTCAGGCCTTTGAGGAATTATAGCACTCCCAGCCTTTGTCAAACTGACTTCCTTCTGAAGTCAGAATCCCAAAGGAAGGGCCTCAAACTTGTAAAATAACTTGTCTGAAAAAGACAAATCAATGACAAAGGTGGAGACAGAGAATGTGTGTGTGTCCCTAATTAGATGGAACCAGAAAGCCTTCTAAAATGAACTCCTATGTCAGTTATGGACACCTGGTGTGGCTCTGTACAATAAGCGCTGGACTAAGAACCACAGGGTCGGCAGTTCAAACCAACCTGATGCTACTGAAACCCTATACAGGCCGTTACGTGTAGGAACTGTGACTGGATGGAACTTAATTAACAACAACAACAACTTGTCAGTTACATAAAAAGATCAGTGAAAAAGAACATGATCCCTGGTCGAGATGGATTGGCATGGTGGCTGCAGCGGGAGCGGAGTGCAGGACTGGACAGTATTTCGTTCTGCTGGTCATAGGGTTGCTATGAGTCAGAGACACCCCAACAGCACGTAACAACAAAAACATCAGTTACACTTTGAACTTCCTCAGTTAGTTGTATATAAGGTGGTAATTGTTATTGTTAAATGCCGTTAAGTCCATTCCAACTGATAGCAACCCTGCAGAGTTTCCAAGACTTTGAATCTCTTTGGGGGCAGAAAGCCTCATCTTTCTCCCAAAGG